TGATGAAGCATCACAAAGTGTTCGGTGTAACTGTTCACAAATAGTATATTCAATGATGTGCTTCACAAAACTGTTTCCTGTTCTTCCTGTTGCTGGTTTTCTAGATCTTGTCACTGAAAAAGGATGGACTAGAGCCTCAGCTGGTGAAAATCCGCATATGCAATCACACTTGCATAGTTTAACTGCAGCCACCTCAAGTACCTCTGTAGCAGGGTGAGGACTGGTTTTTAAATGGGTAAGGCCTCTGCCAGTACCGAATGCCACTACTGCAATGCATGGAAATTTAGTTTGCAAGCAATGTTGCTTGAGAAGGGTGATTGCGCCCTCCACTGCTTCATGGAAAAGGAGAGAATGTAATGTCGATGGAGTCTCTTAAAATTTCTCAAGGAGCTCCATGGGTAGTTAGACACACAACAACTCTTATTTAAGACGATTTAGCTTTAATGGGAGGTATGTGGCTAAATACCCGTGCAGCTCTTTCAAAGTATGGTAGCTGAGTAACCGTAACTGAGTGCTGTTAGAGGAAATTTATCTGATGGTCCAAAACCCGAAATCAGAGATCAGCCCAATTCTTTTTCACTCTCTGGTGCAGTAATCTTTCTTTCGTGAGAGAGAGTTCTTTTTTTCAGGAAAATACAGCAGGATTTTATGATCTTCTTTGACAGCTGTAGGTTAACTTTGTGTATGTGTGGCTTCAGTTTTTTTAAACTTCCTTATTTGGTCAGGGAAAAATTTTTCTCCTAGATTTGACCAGAGATTTCTCCCCAGACTGTAATTTCAGTTGTCATTCCGTGCTGCTTGCTTAACATTTGTGTCTTTTCAGCTGAATAAGATACTTTGCAATTGTCATAACACTATTGTCTGTTAATTAAGCACCAGTGCAATTAAATACCATCAGCACCTTTGCCTCTCAGAGGAGGAGGTGGCTATGATTTCAGATGCTACTTGGTTAATAGTCAGGGTGACTTCTTCCCGAGTACCAAGAAGAGCACACCCATCTCCATTTCCCGGGATCACAGGGGTGCAGGGACTTGCCTCTTGGCTGAGCGAGAGAAACAGAACCCGGGAGTGTGGACTGGGATCCAAACCCCGCACCCGTTAGCCAGCGCTGATTCTCAGGGTGAGGGTGAGGGACTGGGACTGGCGCTGCTCTCGGCAGTGACTGGCCCCACAGACACCGCTCTCAGCTTGTCAGTCCCGCCGGCAGTCCCTGAGCTCAGCAGAGACAGATCCTCTGGTGCCAGCCTGGGCAGCTCTTCTGCTTCCAGCATCTCAAGGGGGGCTGCAAAGAAGAGGGAGACTCCCTTGTTACAAGGAGTCCCAGGGAAAAGCCAAGGGCGAGTGGGCACGAGTTACTGCTGGGGACATTCCAGTTGGACACAAGAGGAACATGTTTCACCACGAGAACAATCAGCCGCTGGAATAATCTCCCCAGGGCAGTGGTGGATCCCCCAACAGCAGACACTTTTAAGATTCAGCTGGACAGGGTGCTGGGCCACCTTGTCTAGGCCGACCTTTGCCAAGGAAGGTTGGACCAGCTGATCCTCGAGGTCCCTTCCACCCTGGGATTCTGTGATTCTGGTTCTGCTGTCTGAGATGTGGGCGAGCAGAACCACAAACTGGTATCTGACCAGTGCCTTCTACCATGTTATTGCGCTCCCTCTTGGAAATACATTACTTGATACATTCTATGATTTCATTTGTGGGCTTTTTTCCCTTTTGGTTTTCAGGCTGAGATAATCACTCCCTGGAAGAGATGGAAAATACACAAGTAAGGTTTTAGTCTTTGGGGTGTTTTTAGTTCCTCCCCTGAGTCACCTTCTCAAAGACTGTGTCATTCATCAGTGTTTACAGACCCCTCAAAAACCAGCTTCCTCACACAGGAATTTAAATGGCTTAAGATCAGGTGGTGAATTTCTCAGAATTCTTGACAAATTTCAAGGCATGTTTCAGGTTTCCCTGCAGGTGAACCTGAAGCATGCAAACAGTCTTTGCTGTCCATCAGCAGCAATACAAAAGCCTCAAAATTGGGGTGGCAATCTAGAGGAACACCTGTTTGGCTTTTTTTCACTAGATTTTGTCTAAACAGAGGCAGAAGAGGACCAGGGTCTGTTTTTATTTGAATGTAATACCATGTTTTGGCCAGCATCTGCACAGTTAATGACTGCAGGTGATCTGGGTTTACGTTGTACTTTCAGCAGGGTCAGTGAGCACAGAGCTTACACGGATTAATCTGATTAGACACCTGCACATCTTTTAATTCAGCAATAGGTAAGATTTCTATTTTTTTACAGTGTGTAGTTCTTGTCTGAAACTTTCTTGTGGCAGATGCTCTTAAGTGCAGTTTTTCCTGGCCAAAAAAAAAAGAAAAAATCTCTCCATGGCCTTTTAAAAAGAATAGGGAACAGAGGATGCCATCTTTGCCTGCTGGGCAACCTGAATGTAACACTTGCCATCCAGAGTGTTGATTTTTCTGGGGAAAAAACACAACCTGCTAGTCCCTCTCCTGGCCTCATCGGGGAAATAGGGGGCATTCTCGCTATTTTTTCAGAAAATATGAAAGTCATAAAGTAAGGGTTCTAGTTAGACCTGTTGATACCAGAGACGTGAACAATTCTGTCCATATACAAAGGATACAAGGAACAGGCTCCTTTGTGTGCACTTTGTAGACAAGATCAGCAGGTCTGCGTGCCGAGCAGCAGCCCAAACCGTGAGCTGTGACCATCAGTGGGTAAAGTGAGTTAAGGTCTGTACTTCAAAACAACCACCCGAGACCCTTCCCCAATTCAGTACACTTGCACAGAGGTAGTTTCACAGGCATTAGATTTTAGAATTTATATTAGAAATTAGAGGAATGAAATTATATAAATGCTAGAAATTATATGATTGTTTATTTAGAATTTCTATGAATGTTTATTTTTTTTCTGTATATGATGAGTGTGCTTTTGTGCCTGGGTGTGCGTGTTAGGAGGAAAGATCGCCCATGCACCCCGCTCTGTAAGAAAAGCGTTGGATTTTTAAACTCTCATTTGGCTTGGGGAGTTTTCTTGGTTACGATTTCCAGGAATATCCCCGCTCCTCCCAGCTCCCCTGGATTTTCTGAGCTGAGCTGATCCGTCATTTCCATCCTACAAATCCATGTGCTCTAATGAACTTCCCCCCCAGTGCCGCTCAGCACAGAGGTGAACTGCCCGGCGTGCCCCGAGCGGCGACACGGGGCGTAAAATCACACGGGGAAGGGAGGTGACACCCCCACATTGCACGAGGACCCTGCACACGCACCCCTGTCGCACGCGGCTCCTTGCACGCCCGCCCCCTTCGCACCGGGCACCGTACGCGTGGGCGCATCCCGGGGCCGGGACTACAACTCCCAGCATGCCCCGGGAGGGCGGCCGGGGGATCTGCGCGCTGATTGGCTGAGGAGGGGGCGGGGCTGGGGCGCACAATGGGGCCCACTCTCTGTGGGCACAGGAGGAGTAGCGGTAAGGTGGGGGGGCTGCGGGGCCCAGGAGTGGGGCTGGGGGGGGCTCCGTGCTTTGGGGGGGCTGTGAGCAGCTGGGGCGGGGGCTGGGGGGGCTGTGGCCCGGGAGCGGGGGGTGGGCCCCGGGGGTGCCAGGGAGTGGGGCTGGGGAAAGGCTCGGAGCCCCTCGGGGGGCCGAGGAGTGGGGCGGGGGGGGCTGGGGGGACTGGCGGGGAGGGCTGGGAGCCACCGGCAAGGCCTGGGGGAGCCCCGAACCGGGGGGGCTGCGAGCCGGGGGGTCCCGGCCCTTTCCCTGCCCGCCCCAGGCCCCAGCCCGGGGTCCCGGCCGAAGCCCCTCGAGGAGCTGATTTGGCCGCCCCGAGGGACGGCTGGGGGGGCAGCCCCGAGCTGCTCGGCTGGGGCCTCGTTCTTGGGGCAAGAGGCAGCGGGGGCCTGCGCAGCGCTGGGAGTTGGCGCTGAAAATCCCAGCTCGGGGGGGTCGGGGCTGCTTCCCCGCGCCCGGGGCGGCTCCTGCTCCCCAATTGCAGCCAGGAGCCCTGCCAGCTCCCCCGGGCTGCTTGGGGCTGTGCTCTTCTTCAAACTTCGGTTTCATAAGTCAGGCTAGTGGATTCTTATTTGAACAGTTTTTGGTTGCTGTGATGACAGCAACGGGCTTCAAAAATGGACCTCAGCAATTCAGTAGCCCCAGACCTTCCCCTTTGTGCCTTTAATTAAGGAATAATTTGAAAACTGATGGAAACTAATGGGTGTTTGGGCAGTGCAGAGTCTTTCTTTGCATGGGGGAACAGATTTTGGTTTTCTTGGCTTAGTTACTGTCCATGGAGGCAAGAAAGGAGAAACCAAGCAGCAGTGATGTCTTTTCTTTAGATTTAAGACATGCATAAAAACACCTAACTAAAAGAAGCCAGTGTTAAATTGTCTTGTTTAATGTTAGGAGGAAGCTGATGGGAATATCCTTAAATCAAAGCTGATACAAAACAGAAATGTCCTAAGCGTCTGCTGTGTGTAGTATCATCCTTAGTGGATTTCAGACCCTTTCATTTCCTGGTGATCAGCTCTAGCTGTCTAGAGCAACGCAGATAAGTTTTATTAACATGGTGGCTACTTGATTCTTTTCTTATATCCACAAATGTTTTTTAAAAAAGTATTTGGATTTCAAAGTTAGGTCAAGTTATCTAAAAATCGTAAGCAGGACTTTTTTTTTTTTTTTTTTTTTCTCTCATTTGCATTAATGCTGGGTAAAGGCAGAAGTTGATTTGGAAACCTGTAAGCTGAAGGGTGTTTTCCAGTGAGGGGTATGTTTTTTTGTTTTGTTTTGGTTTTTTTTCCCTTTTGTGAAGTCTTCAGTATTTTATTTTCTCCCTCAGTATTTCTAGGCTGCAGAAGCAGCCTCACAGGCACTATGGAATCACTTCTCCCATTAGCTGGGCTCCTCCTAAGGATGTGGATTGCATCCATACTCAGAAGCCAGTTGCAGCAACGAAGCCATTTTTGGTATTTGAAGGGGAGGAAGAACTGAATCACCAGTATAACAAGGCTAAAATTTGTTAACCTCTTGGGTTTTTCAGGGCAAACTTAACATGAGTTTCCTTTACAAGCTGGTGGTTCTTGTTAAGCTGAATAACTTGTTCCAAGAATGGATCGCAGAATTTGGTGAGAGCAAGGTAAGGGTTTTTTATATGTTATTACCAAAACAGCTGAAGCCTTTTTATTTCTCTTAAAGGCCATACTACTGGGATTTATGCTGAAGTCGAACTTTTAACTTTCTCCTTAAGTATTGAGTAGAGCTGTAGCAACTGCCATTGAAATAAGGTATAAAAGATACTACAGTTCACAATCTTGAAGTCTTTGGGGCACTGAATAAATGTGTGAAGTGGCTCTGTGGGTTGACTTCTGTCAGCTAACAAAGCTGAAACAACGTATTGTGGGGTGAGCTAGTTGGGAAATGGGCACTAATCTCGCCCCAAACAGCCTGCAGCACCCAGTGTGGTTTGAAATCATGACACTAGACTTGCCTTTTGCAGAGATTGTGTTCCTTTATGTGCATCTGCTGTGGGGAAGGCTAATAATAGTCCTTAATTTATGTAAATTAATGAAAGGGCTGCTACATTACTCATCTCTTTTTTTTTTTTTTTTTTAGTTACAAGCTCTCATTTCAGAAAAACAGTAGCAGTCTATTAGACTAAGAACTCAGTATGGGCGTGAGAAGACACTGTTCATGGAGGCTGTTGTAGCCTTTCTAAAAGGCCTGTATGCTACCTAAACTTGCACATAGGTCAATGTGTATCTTATACTATAAAGTAAACGCTTTCTCTTCTACCCACAGAATCTTCCCCCTTCAGCAGCAGCAAATGTTGGTGTCAAAATATTTACCTTTGGTTCTTACAGGCTTGGAGTACACACTCAAGGTAGAACTTTCATTGTCTGCTCATAGTTCTGATGTTTGAAAGTGACTTCCAACAATAACAGAAGAAATGGAATCTCTTTGCAGGTGCTGACATAGATGTAGTTTGTGTTGCTCTTAGACATGTAGAAAGATTGGATTTTTTTCAGTTGTTCTTTGAAAAACTGAAACATCAGGAGGAAATAAAAAAACCTAACGGTGAGTAAGTGCTCTCCTTGATAATTGTGCAACTTGTACAGTAAGAATGTTCATGTTAAAGACTCATAATGGTAGTGGATGTCTTACAAGCCAAAATTTAAAAATAAATTGTTTCTGAGGGCCTTCTAAAATGCTATCTTATGCAGCATGCAAATGCTGAAGTCGAGCTTTTGGTTCCTTTCCCCAGTGGCTGTACATCACGTAAGAATCTTTGTGGTCCGCTTCTCCCCTGCCCTTGGTTTGAGAATGAGTCGGCTGTATCAAAAAGCAAGGCTGTCCCTGGGAGCCCTGCTTTCATCTCCGGTGCAGTAAGGGGCCTGGACATGCACGCCGGGGGAGGAGGGGGCAGCCTGAAAACTCAGGAAGTTGGCGGTGATGTGGAAAGGCTCCTGTCAGTCCCTTGGCCGTGCTGTTCCTCTGGATAGACTTTAGGAGCTCTCGTTCATCCTCCTCTGGCCACGTTCCTCTCTGGCTCCTCAGCCTGAGCCTTTGCGGCCGGGATGCACACTGTCAGCTTTCCAGAAAGTTCACAGGGGCTGTGCTGGGAACGTACAGAACTGCTGTGTAAAATGCCCCTCGGGTGCATGCATGGCATACCTCACACGTAAAACTGAGCTCCTGGGAAGTGTTTCTCAGCCTGGGCTTCCTCACGCAGACGGTTTGAAAGACTTCATGTGCATAGCTACGGAGCCTTTGTTTAGGTGACTGTCACCTGAAAACAGACTCTCAGCGGGCCGTGGCACAGTTCTAACAAGTGCTCTACAAAACTGAAGACTGTGCCAGAAGGCAGCTGACAGCATCTCGGGCATGGTAGAAAATAAAAATAGAGAAGACTAGTGCACGCTGTGAAATGTGGACAGAATTTGTTAGATTTTTCTGGATGTTAACCAGCAGTAAGATAGCTACAGAAATCTCTTCCTTTTCTTCCTCACTGCCAAGGTAAGTACCTTACAGCCACTGATCCTGGTGGCTCACTGTGTGCTGTTTGTTCCTTACAATCCATGATCAGCCTCAGAATCTCTTGGCTAAATAGCTTCTCGATGCCAGTATTAATACAGTATTAGTGGTATACTGCTTGCAGCTTACTACCAATTTTTTTGGTTCGGAAGCAACTCAGTCTTTATGCTGAATAGTTTAGCAGTGTAAATTCTATATTTTATCATAGTTTAGGAAAAAGATTAAAGTAGCAAGAAATGTTTTCTTACACAGTGATCCTCTCCTTTACAGGCAGTTGAAGATACGTTGTACTAGTTGTCAAGTTTGAGTTTGATGGCATTGAGGTAAGAATTTTGCTTTTTTTCTTTAAGTCAGAAGGTTTTTATCTTGCTCTGGAATAGGATAACCTTTCCAGGGACTCGTGACCTTGCTATATTACAAGGTTATTGGTACCTTACAGTGTATTTAGGAAACTAATCAAACAGCCTGACCACAACCTATCTCAGGAGAAGGCACTGCAGTGAAATGGCAGCCGATAGGAAAATAACCCCCTAGGAAGCCTGGCGGGCACGGGAACATCAGGGACACCTCTTGCTAAGCCTGTGCTGCAGGCCAGGGTAGCCCAGTGGAACAGCAGTTATGTCACAGGGATTGTGCAGCGTGGGAGTAGAGGCAGTGTCCTTGCCAACCCGTCTGAGCTCTGACAAACCAGCTTTCTGCAGGGGGACGGGGATAGTGTAGCTCACCGTATGGATCATGTGAGCAGACTAAATGTTTTGTTGCAAATCAAAAATGAAGTGGTCGTGAGACAAACTGGAAGATGAAAAGTGAAAGCCCCCATTTGACTCCTGCCCAGGTTTGTCAGCTGCAGGAATCCTTGTATCTTGACTGCATCTTACCCCGTGAGCGCAGACCTGCACGCTGTAGTACCTCAGCACGTTACTGCTCGGTGTCACTGTTGCCAAGACGTTCAGTGACCTTTTTGTGGCCTCTCTCTGGTACAGACGTTCACAGAATAATTTTCTTGCCTCAGACTGTGCTGTAGACCAGATGCTTCAGCATCAAAAGGGCTTACTGCAGAAAGAAAATGCTCTCTCCTTTGCTGAAGAGTAGTTGGGGTGACTGAACTTGCATCTTAAATCTCTGATTTATGTTCCCTTGTAATGGAAATTGGAAGTTTAGAGTAATCTTTTCACCATAAAAAAACCCCTTCCTTTCCCTAGCTTAAAAAGGGGGGATACAGTGAAGGTTTTGTAAATAAAATATGGAACTTCTAGCAATTCTCTTGAGTTTTCTGGCAAGTAAATCTCTCAGGACATGTATCTGTAGTCACATAGTTCTAAATACAAATGTTAACCTCTCCGTAGACTTGACTAGCTTTTTTTCCCACTGTTGTGCTGTTTGCAAACAGTGCAGCGTTCTCATATCTCACCGTTGGCACTTTTTTCCCCTCTTAAGATGGATCTCATGGTTGCCGGACTGTCTCTGCAAACTGTTTCTGATAATCTTGATCTCAGAGGTGACTCGTGTCTGAGAAGCCTGGATACGAGATGTATGTGGAGCTGAAATGGTAAGCACGTTTGCACGTCTTTAAAAAGAAAGTGTTACTGAACTTGGTGTAGAGTGCACATGGCACAACCCATCGGTTTCTGTGCAAGTTGCAGAAGCTGATCTCCTGTATACCTGAGATCTGAGGAGGTGGCAGTTGGGCTGAAATTGAGATGTTTCAAGGAGCTGGTGTGTTTAGATAGACCTATATCTCATGTTTCTTTGATCAGGCTGTGTGCATTGTTCCAGTTCACCATACAAACTGCTTCAGACGAATAGGTAGAGCATTTGATAGAGAAGAATGTGTAGTAGTTCATAAAAACCATAAAGATATTTAAAATACCCGAAGCCTAACTTGCTCACTGTTTAACACAGACTGGTTTAATTGTTTCTGGCTGTTGAAAGAAACTTAGCTTTCAGAATCCTCTTGAAAGGCTTTATTAAAAATTGTAGTCTGTAAACTATGAAAAAGCTGCTGAGGGCACCAGTTACCTGGAGTGATACTGAATGTTATATATAATCTGTAATTTTTAAGGAAATACAAAGCAAGTCATCCAAACTTGTTTTCATAGACTTGAACGAGGAACTGTGAGCTATTGATCCAGGATAGCATAAAACTGACTTGTGCCTGTTACTAGGAACTGCTGCACTTCAAATTTTTCTTAGAGGCTGCAGAGTTACTGATGAAACACTGCATCTAGAGCCAAATGAAGAGAACTTCCAGCTCACTCTCCGTGCAATTAAACTGTGGGCAAAATGTGAGTAAGGGGATTGTTTGTGATCTTTAAACTTTTCAGAGGCACCTGATGCTGAAGAAACAAGAGCATTAGAAGTACTTCACCCTCGGATAGCTGTGCGAATGAGAGTTTTCAAACTAGAACCTGTTTTTTTAGTTTAGATTCACGGTCTGTCCGTGGGGTGGATTTGGTGTATTTTTTAATGGGGGTAGAGTGGGGTGAAGAGGGGAGTGCCTACAAGAGAAGGTGCTGCATTGCTTATCAGGAACCTGACTAGAGGTGATAAAAAAGCCAAGTTAAGTATAAAAACTTGATACGTAAGGAATAAGAAAATACTGTTTGTGCATGTGGCTAGAGCAAGTGCTAGAAGAATGGTAGGATTTTTCTTAGGGGAAGTTGGAGTGAAGCAGTAGCTGTAGCAGTGTAGGCAAATTTCAGAGTAGCAGAATTTTGGGAAGAGGTGTGGTAATGATTCTTCTGCTCATCACTGCTAATGACTGACAATTTTGGCCTCATTTAATTGCAAAAATAACTGACTTGGAGACTGAAGTGACTGAGTCTTCTACAGATTGTGAAGTTGGTGCTGTAAATTTGAAGGAAGGTCCTTGGGTATTGAAGGACTACAGGCTAACGACATGTACCCATTCTAGGACATGGCATTTAGTCCAACGTGCTGGGATTTCTTGGTGGGGTTTCCTGGGCAGTGCCAGTAGCAAGAACAGGTCAACACTATCCAAATACTTGGGCTTCTGCTCTTGTGATCAAGTTCTTCTTGTTTTTTTTTTTTTTTGTTTTTTTTTTTTTGTTTTTTTTTTTTTGTTTTTTTTTGTTTTGTTTTGTTTTGTTTGTTTGTTTGTTTGTTTTTTTTCAAAATGGTAAGAGCTAGCATTTATTTTAATTTCCATAAAGAAGTAACTCTGCTAGAGGTAGTTCTTTACATAAGATTTCCATCGGCAACGGTCAATCCTACCCTGAATTACATGGCAGAGTTCTAAGTGGACGGTTAGTTACTGGCTTTTCTTATACAGGGCATGGCTAAATCCTTTATTGCTGAAACAACCTGAAGAGAGCAATTCTTAATTTACCAATATGGGACACTGGGTGTGTGAACGTTGAATTCAGAAGCCTTTAAACGTTCTTCTAACCTAAACTGATGCTAAGCACAATTGTTTTAACATCCTAGGGGAACCCATGAAACAGATAGCGTGTAATGCCAATCCTCCCCCCGGCCAGGCCTCAGCAGAACTCTGCAGGCAAGGTATCAGTCTCAATGCGAGCAGTAGTGGTAGAGGAGTTCAAACGTGGTAAAGTTCTTCCCGTGCTTATTAACTGATTAAGAAGTGTAATTCTTGCTAGATGAAACCACATCATCTGAATCGGTACCTCAGCGCAATTCACAAGTGAAGCGCTCCTGTCAGCATAGCACTTTCTGCCATCAAAATACTTGGTCAGCAGCAGTTCAGTCCTTCAGGCAAGAGGACATCAGGGCAATTAAAATATGAAAAGGGAACATGTATCCTGAAAGACAATGCCTGAAGAGGCGGTTAATTTGAAGGAAGGAGAGGTTGGAAGAGATCTCCAGGCCCATCATACACTTACTGAACTCCATAGGAAGCAGTAAGAGGCTGGCTGGTTGCTTTCTACTTTTCTTTGTTTCCAGGGAGGGTGTTGCAGAACCCAAATCATCCAAGCACTAGGAGTTTTCTTCCAGTTTTCAGCTTAAATTTACTCAGGGCCAGGCCATACACATTTTTTCTGGTGTCCACACCTTCAAGCTTAGTAACTGTTCCCCCTAAAGGATACTTTCCTCTTCTGCATTTAAAGGAGTCACCCCACTCTTCTTCCACTTGCTTTTCTAGCCTAAGCATTACTAAACATAGTACAACACTCTATGAAAGGGGAAAAGAATGCAGAGAATCAGCATTTTGCTTTTTGACTAGAAAATGAAAATCTCTAACAGCAGATAAGTCTGAAGTAAAAATCAATCAAATCCGTTCCCCAGATGGGGTGTGGGTTATGATATACCACATATCTGGACTCGACTCTTGAATGAAATCATGCACTAAGGTTGTTCTGCAGAGGTTTAACTAGAGTCTTGGCAACTTCATTTGGGACATGAAAGGTGTTGGCACTAGAGTACCATGGGCAGTAAAGAAGACTGCTCTTGCAGTTCGATTCCAACGCTGCATCCTCAAACAGAACGGGGCTGCTACGTTGGAGGAGCACTGATGGAAATCTCACCCGCCATCCCGAATGACGCTCTGGAGTTTCTTCATCGTCGCTTTCCTTGGGCTTGGTAAATCTTTTGCAGAGTCTGAAGCAAACGCCCACAGCTTTTCCCTGTTTGTAACAGTGGATGTCTGGATTTTCACAGCCTTGTTTGTGGTGGGGCACCACTGGATTTGCCTTCAAAATGCGTCCTTGTACGAGAAGAGAAGAGGAAAATTACCAGTCATGGTGTTATACTATCCACAGGGCAATAGAGTGCACTGCTTGTAGGAGGCTTTAATACAGTAAATAGTCTTTAAATGCCTTGATTTTTTAAGTTTAATCACATGCTTAGAGTCTGACTGCTAACAGAATCTAACAAAAAGAAATAGGAAGATAGGTGGAGCTGTATTTGAAAAAGTGGGGTTTCTCTTTCCTCTCTGGAGGGTTTATTGCCCAGAGCAGGCTGAC